TAACCCTGTATTCTGCTTTCAAATTTGCCCTTTCAAAATGAATCACTTCACACTTTTCAGGGTTAAACTCCATCTGCCACTTTTCAGCTCAGCTCTCCATCCTATCAATGTCCCTTTGTAACCTAGAACAGCCCTCCGCATTATCCACAACTCGACCCATCTTCATATCGTCCACGAACTTACTAATCCACCCTTCCACTCCTTCATCCAAATCATTTACAAAAATCACAAATAGAAGAGGACGCAGAACAGATCCTTGTGGTACATCACTCATAACTGAGCACCATGTTGAATATTTCCTGTCCACTACCACCATTTGTCTTCTAAGGGTCAGCCAATTCTGAATCCAGAATTGGATTCAGTCTTGAGATTTTTGATTTAACCCCAATCACAACAGCTTTTGGGAAGAGCAGGTGCAGGATGGAGGTTGAAGTGTCCCAGATTTCCAATAACAATAAGCCGTGCACTTGTCTTCACAACCGAGTGAAGGTTCACAACACGATGTGCAGGGAATCCTGGGGAAACAGTATATACTTCAATTTTTTTTCATAGTTTAAAGCAGATGTTAAACATTGTAATATGGCCTGTGATGATAAAATATCTATTTGCAAGTTAATAAAACTGGTTCATGTATTCCACATTTTGTACTAGTTTAAAAATATTAAGCACTGTATTAATTAAGCCACCACCAGACTGAGAATTGAAACAATAACGGGGGTAATCAATGTCCTTTGACATAAAAAAAGTACTGTGATTGCTTCTGTATCCCAATTTACAACATACAAGTCAAAGTTTCTGATTGGAAAATGTCAGATAGAAATGTTGCCACAATTTATATTAGAGTTCACTTACTATTTATGCATTTCATTTATCATCCATAATAGCTTGCTGTAAACATTATTTTGAATCTTTGTCCTCAGTTCATCTTTCATATAGGATGCACCACAGAAGCAGCTATTTGGTGCAAAAGTTCCACGCTGGTATTTATGTTCCAGATGAACTTCTCTGTACCCTCATGATTCCTAGCTTCCCGATTTGTTTCTTCTAAATTCTCCTTAAATGTATCAAATATATTCCCTCAACTGCTCCCTGCAATAATGAGTTCCACATTCTAATCAATTTTTGGATAAAGACATTTCTGTTGAATTTTCTTCTGGATTTATTTGTGACTGTCTTAACTTTATAATCTCTAGTTTTGTTCTTCCCAACAGTGGAAATATGTTCTTTACATCTTTTACCACTTCAAACTACTTCTGTAAATCCTCTATCAGGTCACCCATCAGCCTTCTCTTTTCAGAAAAAAAACAGCCGTAGTCTATTCGGTTATTCCTGGTTCCACTATTATCTAATCATAGTGAGGCAATCATGTTCAATGGCTCATCTTTCTGCTTCTGCAGTTACCTCCACTGTCTCCCAAGTATATGTCCTTGATCCCTCCATTTTTTCATCTACCACTGCAACAAAGCCAATCTATTTATAATCTTCATCCACATTTGATCTCAGGATGAGTTGCTAATGCCATATTTTTGCTTCCCCAATCTTCATTTCTACACTATGTTGACCATGCTTTCTGTGATCTCCACCGCAAACTTAGGAATACCCTTCATTAATCATTCTGCTGAAGCATCTCAAGAATGTTACTATATCAAAAGCACCAAATACAAGTGGAGATTTTTTTTTGAGGAATAGACGACTATTGGGTGAATTGGTGGAAGGTTATTTTTCAGACTGGAGGCCTGTGTGGTGTGCCACAGGGATCGGTGCTGGGTCCACTGCTTTTCATCATTTATATAAATGATTCGGATGTGAACACAGGAGGTACGGTTAGTAAGTTTGCAGATGACACCAAAATTGGAGGTGTAGTGGAGAGTAAAAAAGGTTACTACAACGGGATCTTGTTCAGATGGGCCAATGGACCAAGGAGTAGCAGACGGAGTTTAACTTAGATAAACATGAGGTGCTCTGTTTTGGAAAGGCAAATCAGGGCAGGACTTATATGTTTAATGGCAAGGTTTTGGGGAGTGTTGCTGAACAAAGACCTTGGAGTGCAGGTTCATAATTCCTTGAAAGTGGTGTCGCAGGTCGACAGGATAGTGAAGAAGGCATTGGGTATGCTTGCCTTTATTGGTCAGTGCACTGAGTATAGGAGTTGGGGGGCTATTGAAGCTGCACAGGACATTGGTTAGGCCACTTTCGGAATACTGCGTGCAGTTCTGGTCTCCCTGCTAAAGGAAGGATGTTGTGAAACTTGAAAGGGTTCAGAAAAGACTCACAAGGATGTTGTCAGGGTTGGAGGGTTTGAGCTACAGGGAGAGGCTGAATAGACTGGGGCTATTTTCCCTGGAGCATCAGAGACTGAGGGGTACCCTTATAGAGGTTTATAAAATCATAAGGAGCATGGATAGGGTGAACAGCCAAAGTCTTTTTTCCCAGATTAGGGGAGTCTAAAACTACAGGGTATAGGTTTAAGGAGAAACGAGAAAGATTTAAAAGGGATCCAAGGGGCAACTTTTTCCACACAGAGGGTGGTGCATGTATGGAATGACCTGCCAGAAAAAGTGGTGGAGGCTGGTACAATTATAACATTTAAAAAGAGATCTGAATGGGTGTATGAATAGGAAAGGTTTAGAGGGATACGGGCCAAATGTTGGCAAATAGGACTAGATTTATGTAGGATATCTGGTCAGCATGGACAAGTTGGACCGAAGAGTCTGTTTCCGTGCCGAATGACCCTATGACTGTAAGATCTGCTCTTGTAGCCACTATGTTTGTGTGGCAAGTCCAGTTGAATTTCTGGACAATGGTAACCCCAGGATGTTGATAGTAGGGAATTCAGTGATGGTAATGTCATTGAATGCCAAGGGAAGGATGGTTAGATGAGATCTTGTTGCATTTGAACACGGACTGCTTCAGTATCTGAGCTGCCACGAATGGTGCTGAACATCGTGTGATCATCAGTGAACATCACCACTTCTGACCTTATGATGGAGGAAATTCACCAATGAAGCAGCTGAAGATGGTTGGGCCTAGGACACTACCCTGAGGAACTCCTACAGAGATGTCCTGGAGCTGAGATGACTGACCTCCAACAACCACGACCATCTTCCTATGTGCCAGGTATGACTCCACCCACCATAGAGTTTGCCCCCTGATAGCCATTGATTCTAGTTTTGTCAGGGCTCCTTGATGCCACACTCAGTTGAATGCAGCCTTGATGTCAAGGGCTGTCACTCTCACCTCACCTCTGAAATTCAGCTCTTTTGTCCATGTTTGAACCAGGGCAGTAATGAGGTCAGGAGCTGAGTGGCCCTGGCGGAACCCGAACTGAGCCAGTTATCATTGAGTACGTGCTACATGATAACTCTGCCAGTGACCCCTTCATCACTTTGCTGAAGATCAAGAGGAAACTGATGGAATGGCAATGGTATGGGATTCTTCCTGCTTTTTGTGGAGTGGGCATACCTGGGCAGTTACTTGTGACATCACTGTCACTTTCTGTTGCAATTTCTAGTGAATGCACACAAGATGCAATACCTGATCTTTTACCATCTCTTTTCTCACTGGACATCACCCCAAAGCACTCTTCCCAGGTGAGATAGTGATTTATCTGTACTTTCAATTGAATATACCAGATCCACTGCTCATAATGTGAACCCCTCTACACAGACTGGGTCAGCACTACCCATGTAACTTTTAAGCTTCTATATGTCTCTCTTTTTAACTCTTTATTCTGATCCCACTCTATCCTCAGCCTAACGCACTGCCCCACTCAGCCCAAGGTTACCTTGAGGAACAGCACCTCACCTTCCGATTGGGAATTCCAGACACAACGCAAATTTCACCAATTCTAGATCATGAGCATTGCACCTTTAGACAGCAGCTACTTCAAATGATTCCGCATGTCCCACTTAAACCTGCAATCATGGAATCGCTACAGTGTGGAAGCAGGCCATTCAGCCCATCGAGTTCACACTGACCCTCCAAACAGCAGCCCACCCAGACCCACCCACCTATCTCTGTAACCCTGCATTTCCATGGCCAATCCATCTAACCTGCACACCTCTCCACACTAGGGGCAATTGAGCATGGCCAATCCACATAGCCTGCATATCTTTGGACTGTGGGGGGAAACTGGAGCACCCAGAGGAAACCCACACAGACACGGGGAGAATGTGCAAACTCCACACAGACCATCGCCCGAGGGTGGAATCAAACTTGAGTCCCTGGCGCTGTGAGGCAGCAGTGCTAACCACTGAGCCACCTCCTGTCCCAGCGAGGGAGTGCTATCTCCTACTGCTTTGCAACATCATCTCATTTATCAACCCCACACCTTCCCTTTTGTTTCCTCCACTCTTTCCCTGCCTCCCTATTTGCCTCAAACCCGTTACGCTCCAATTCTGACAAATAGCCTTTGACACGAAGCATCAACTGTTTCTCCCTTCACAGCTGCAGCTTCGCATTTCCAGCATTTTCCAGTTTTATTTCAGATTTCCAGCATCTGCAGTATTTGCCTGTTGTATTTCGTCTTACAGACAGGTAGTTGGTGAGGTGAGGGGATGTGAATGTTATTTGAATTATTCTAATTTAATCAATATTTCAACAGGATAGATCCAGTTCATAAGCATTTGTCAATGAACCTTACGATCTGCTCTAAAATGCTGGCTATATTTTGTCTTAAACCCTTGCTTTAAAAGCCGGCTTTGAACTGTGCTAAAGCTCAGTTGTTTCGAATCGAACTGGTTGCTGGTTGCAACACTTCACAGAGCTCAAAGCTCACTCCCTATCCTTTCACCTCTCATCACTTCACTTGGAATTTCAGTCTCTTTCGCTGTCCCCGGTTGTTCTCTGCTTCCTGCTGAACCACATGAGCCGTCCTTTTCTTTGAGTAAAGATCCTGCGAGGCAGCTCAGGCCTGCAAACTGTACATATTCACACACACATACACATAGACACACAGTCAGTCATCACAAAGATTGCAATCGCGGAAGACAGCGACTCACCGGCACACAGCTAATCCTCGCTGCACATTGCCTGTGCTTTTGTTTAACCTCAAGGATTTCCCTTCGGTTCTGTCTTTCCTTCTTCTCACTCTCTCGCAAACTCTGAAGGAAAAATGCGAGGAGAGGGCCTCGTTGTCTGCACAAAGGGGAAAGGCAAGCAGCTGAGACACAACACTCACTAGAGGGCATCTTCCAGACATCACAGAGCCTTCAAACTTAACTGTTTCCTAACCAACTGCAATTAGAGTCATAGAGCTGTACAGCGCGGAAACACACCTTTCCATCCGTTCATCCGTGCCGACCAAATATCCTAAATTAATCTTGTCCCGTTTACCAGCATTTGGCCCATATCCCTCTAAACCCTTCCTATTCATTTACCCTGAGATAACAAGGTGTAGAGCTGGATGAACACAGCAGGCCCAGCAGCATCAGAGGAGCAGGAAGACTGACGTTTCGGGTCTAGACCCTTCTTCAGAGATCATTTCATCCATTTCTGAAGAAGGGTCTAGACCC